CCGATAGCCGCTTTCATATCTTTGTGTTGTGGTCCGGATAAGCCTTTGGTCATAATGTCCGCCAACATGTTTGCCATTTTTTAATATTTAAGATGTACTTCGTCACGCTTGAGTTCATCACAAATCTGGTGATATTTGATGTCGATATGCTTAGCTCGACCGTTATTGACAGGATTCTTGGTCATCTTGGGACAGATTATATGTCTTTATAAAATCTTGCAGCAAAATTTGCACTCGCCTGCCGCATATAGAATCCTCAACAGAAACGGTGCCGATTCACCCGTTAGCTATCTTGAATCACCACCTTCAACGGCATGTACTTTGCTTTGCTAGTTGCTAGTTGACAATGACACGCTTGACTTTTTTTTGCTTCTTTAATTACTAAGCCCATCTATCAATATCAAGGCATAGCCAAAAGTTGACTCGCGATCCGTTGGGTCGCCTATCCAGTCTGCATCCGAGTATCCCTGAAAGCCGACTTCGTTAACAGGCCGAAACGAAACAATAAGACATTTTGCCTTGCGAATAGCAAAGATGCGCTAAATTGCCGTTCAGCGCTCAGCTTGTGGATTCTTTCTAAATATTAAAAGATAGCATAAAGCAAATGTAATGCCCGGCCGTGTTGCCGTCATCAGATGCATGAGAACTTCTACAGCCTTACTTAAGTCAAAGCGTAACTTGGCATGAGCCTTGAGCTGATATCCGCTGGACTTATCACTGGCTTGCAATCATCCATGCTAAATCACTTGAGAATGTCTTCTACGTATTGCCATTGTCACACTGCCGTCGCCGCTGTCTATTAACTAAATGCCCAGGAAAAACTCACATTTTCCACTGTCGGGTGTCTCAAAACGATTCTTCGAGCTAGTCTGCGTTATTATTCCGCTGTCCTCTCAGCAACCAGAATATCGTCCACATACCAGAAGTAGCACACAGTGACCAACCACAAGTTTGATGGAAATGTATGAATCAAAATTATAAGCTTGAAATCTAATCGAGCAAACTATTTTGTTAAAGGTCTCATTCCATACGCGAGAAGCTTTTTTAGCTTCATAAATTGCCTTGATGAGCTCAAGGCAATCATAAAAACTGTCAAACTAGACCTCTTCTGGTACCTGGCAGTAATAAACTTCCTTCATTACTTAATAAGAAAAGCTGTTACAACATCCAATTGACCAAATGTACCCTTAGTACATAAACAAGGCAATAATTTTTAGTGATGTCACATACTTGACAACAGGCAAAAATGTTTCCGTATATTCAGCTCCATTTTTTCCAAAGCCTTTTGCGATGAGCCGATCCTTGTAATTTTCAAATGGGTCATCGGGCCTTGCGCTTGATCTTATATACCCACTGATTCTTGATATCATATTGTCCTGACGGCAATTTTGAGGTTATAAATACTCCACAAAGTTGCAATTAATTTAGCTCCGCGTGAATTGCTCTGCACCAATGGATTGATCAGAACCTCTTACAGCATCATGATAAAAAGTTGGTCCGGATAAGTCGTATATCTAACTGCGTTTAATCTTGCACGCCAAAATGGCAAGGGAGTTAAATCATTGTTTTCGTACTTCGAAGCATGCACTTTTTGACCAGGTCTTGACTTATTCCGCACGTGATATTGCCGCTTGACTAGACGTGAGTCCATTTGTTCAGGGACACTAGCTTTATTTAGGCCTGCTGGGCGATATTATAGGCTTGGTGCTTCACTTAATTGGTTCTATTCTTGCGTTCGCAGCTTGTGTTTACCTATTTACTTGATACTTGTTGTGTATGTATAGTCGTCGCACTCAATCTCAAGTAAGTCGAAATTCGGGTTTGCTGCTTCATGGTCATCACATCTAGATAACAAAAACTTGACTTGTCAAACGTAGCATTCCAACTATTCAGCTCTTGTTGAGCCTGGATTTTATATATTCTACAAGTTCTGAACATCTTTTCATAACCCACAAACACACCAGCCCCTGAGAGTCTATGCACTCTCGAATCGGCGAAGAGCAGCGGCGGGCTGCTTGTG